CTTTACTAGTTCTTGTTAAAGTTCTGAAATTTCAATTTTCTTATAGCCCTTGGTCCCTTTTGTACATTTCAAAGGTCTAGAAAATTGTTTGATCTGTAATGACTGCTCAGCAAATACTGATTGAATGGGTGCTGTGAAGAAAGGGACAAACCACCCTCTCCATATTCTTTATGTGCTTGCTAGGGTCCCCTGCACAAGGTTCTTGCTGTCACTGTTTACTTTTCACATTCTGTAACCTCACAGAGAAAAGTGAATCTCTATGTTCTATGTACACAGATGCCAAGCACCCCATCTCAACATAAGCACAATTAAACATTACATTTCCCCTCAAAACAATGCCTCTTATACATGCATCTATCCAATAACTTGGAAAATATTTTAAATTTTTCTCCTTCCTTATTCATTTCCCATTATATCTAATTTGCCATTATATCTTCTACATTCTACCTCTTTAGTACTGTTCATATCCTTCCTCATCTCATTTTTCTCACTGCTGACTGCCTTAATTTGTACTCTATTTCTTACTGACCTTTATTTTGTGTATTTTATGTTAGAGAGTCTTTTATTCCTCTCTTCATCTTAGTGCTCTGAAAGATTTTCATATATTGCAAGTAAACTTTAGAATTTCCTGTGACCACACATTTCTAAGAGATAAATGCATGCCTATGCATACACACACACACACACACACACACACACACACACACCACAAAAGCACATATGTGCATATTTGTAGATTCAAGTGGATAGAGTTATACAACTATTAGTGATTCATAATGACAAACAGCATGAATATATATTTAATGTATTTTCAAAGATATCTGTTTTAGTCCCTAATGTTTTTATAACCCAGGGCAATGTACTATAGTAGAATTTGAGAGGAATGAGAAATCTCGCTTTATCCAGTAAAGCAGGAAAGCGCAATATGGATGGGAAAACAGGTGTTGAACTTTCCAAACTTCTGAGGAGCACATGCATCTCATGCTGAGGACTTTGGGAAATAATTCATATGTAGATGAAAAAGCTACATCATAGGTCCACACTACAAAACCCTGGAAGAGTCTTTTTGTTCCCTGGGTTTCACATACATCAGTTTGAGGACCACAATTCTACACCATAAGTCAGATGTGACCACTCCTCCTGCTTATTCTCAGTGTTTCTCATGGCAACTTTTTGGCTACTCTTGGATCCTGCTCTATCTGCCCTGGTCAATTTAGATTTTCTAATCATCTTCCAGTTTCTGTTGTTACCCTACAACCTACCCAACCTACCAACTATTTAAGATAGTTGCCATATCTTAAATACCATGAGGCTATTCTACCTATTCTTTACTATTCACAACCATTTTGTAGAATCAAAATAAGAATTACTGACACTCAATGGGAAGCACCCTTTTTGTAAATAAAATCACCTTATTTTTAAAATAAATGGTAACAAATTATGAGTCAAAAGTTTTAAAACCCCTCTTCAACTTTCAAGAGAAAAAGTGAAACAATTAGCAACTCTATTATTTTCTTCAAACATATTGAAAACCCAGAATGAGTTTAGCTAGTCCAGACTAAGTGATAACCTGAATGTTGTTTCAAGAATTTAATAATACAAAATAATCAGTTGCAATCAGATAACCAATTGTCTGTTACAATTGGTTCCCAAGATCCCCACCCACTGGCATGTGTGTTCTGTGTAATCACCTCCCCTTGAGTGTGGATGATATTTGTGAATACCAAAAGACTAAATACAAGGAGACTCATAATTAGATTTCTTTACACCAACACAGGTGAAGAAATTTTGCATGTATAATTATAGTTGCTATAAATTGATTTTTACCTTAATCAAAAGGGATACTAAACTATGTGAGCCCAACCTAATCAGGTGAGCTTTGCGGGGGAGGAAAGTTTATAGAGGTCAGAAGCCCAAGGCACTGGAGATAATATCCTTTTTGCCTTGAAGAAGTAAACTGACATATTGCAGAAAGGGTCATGTGTCAGGGAATGTTGGGAAATTTCTAGAGAGTACAGGCTTTGTGCATCCTTACATCCACAAGAGGCTGAATTGTGCCAACAATCAGTGAACTTGAACTAAGATGCTGAGTCTTAGATGGGCTCACATGTCCAGTAAACACCTTGATTTTGACCTTGCAAGACCTAAACAGAGAATCCACTTGAGTTTTCACTGAATGCCAGACCCACAAATGCAATATTATAATAAAGCTAAGTTGTTTTAAGACTCTTAAGCTTTTGGTAATTTATCACTACATAAATCTAACACATTATTGAAACCACCACCAAATTTCTCAGTTTTGTACTAGAGGATTTATTACATATGCAAGCCAAAACATTTTAAAAACTATTCATAAAATGTTCTCTCTCCTACTTAAAAAAAAACAAGAATGGAACCACCATATGACTCATTTATCCCACCCCTCAATATTCATCCAAAAGAACTAAAATCAGCATGCTATAATGATACAGCCACTACAATGTTTATAGTAGCACAATTCACAGTAGCCAAATTATAGAATCAACTCAGATGCCCATCAGTAGATGAGCAAGTCAAGTAAATATGGCATGTACACACACACACAGACACACACACACACACACACACACACACACACACACACACACACAATGGAGTTTTACACAGGCATAAAGAAGAATGAAATATTTGCATTTGCTGATAAATGGATGGATGGAAATGGAGAAAATCATACTAAGTAAAATAAGCYAAACTCAGAAAATCAAGTGTCAAATGTTTTCTTGCTTTTGTGGAAGCCAGAGCACAATAGGGAAAGAACAAAAGGGGAGGAAATTGAACATCCTAAAGTTAGAGGGAAGATCAGTGGAGTAGAAGTGGGAGAACAAGAGGGAGGGAAGGAGGATGGATGGGAAAGGGAAAGAAACAATGGAACAAATTTAACAAAATCATGTTGTATGTATATATAAATGTATCAAAGGGAATTTCACCTTTATGTATATGTAGAAATTATGAAGCAAAATAAATCAATAAAGGAGCGAAAGGAAGATCAGTAGAAGAGAGCAAATAATGGGAAGGAGGAGAAGCAGAAATGGGGAGAATGAGTATTATGATCGAATGTATAATTTAGCAAAATGAACCCCCAAACTATGTGTAATTATAATACTTTTAAAAAACTTATCTCTCAGAATTTCTAGAATGTCAAGTTTATTTTAATATTTTAATAATAGCCTTTTCCAATCTCTAAATGAGCAATCAAATAATTCTTAAATTCAAAGTTGTCCTTCAATAAATAAATCTTTAAACATTTTCAAAGCTCAGAAGATTATTTTAATTTGGAATACATAGGTTTGGCTCACAAATCCTAATATTATTTTATTAGAAGTAACATCCTAAAAGCACCACACTCTACTTAACACAGCCATCAGAATTACTGCATGTTACTTACATAATTCACCAATTCCCCTTTAGACAGAAAAGAAACTTATTTAATATTTAGGAAGTGTCAGATTCATTTTATTTTTTTATTTCCCAATTTCTTTTAAAAATATCTGAAGGATTCATTGAGAACCAAAGAGAAGGGCAATATGGACATCTTTGTGAGTACAATCATGCTATAGGGTGAACATGCATGTGAACATGTGTGCGTATTCTTATCTTATTATATACAAGAGTTATAAGAGTACCAAACACATACACACACACACACACASASASASASASASAGAGAGAGAGAGAGAGAGAGAGAGAGAGAGAGAGAAGAAACAGTTGGTTTATTGAACCTAACTGATTCAGAATGACAGAAAAATTAATATGATTAAACAAGTCAATGAGTGGAATGAACTCAATCTATACAGAGCAACACTGTCACCAAGTCATCTTTTTTTTTTTTTTTTTTTTAAGGACAAAACAGATGATTCGGTTTCCCTGGAACATTTTGTTTCATTCTGAGAGGTTTTCAGATTCTGCAGCTATTTCACATATGCCATGCACATCGCCTTTCTGTGGTCTTTATGAGTTGCCCAAAACATTTCCATTTATTAGTAGTGCTAAAGAGAGATTCACCTTGACAGCACAATAGCGTGAATGATATTGAGTTAGGTTTCTTCAGAATACTAACCACATCAGGCTGCTACAGGGAAATATGCAAATATCTGTCCATGTTCTCATAACTGTGTTACTTACGGTCCCTGACCTTGTGTTGCTGATATTTATTTCTCTATATGATGCCTACAGGCAATGTTATCATGCCAACTTAAGCATTATCACATCTTAATACATTTATACAGCTCTATTKATCTTAAAGCTTTTAGGTTCTAGTTGAAAAGATAAGAGCTCTATTYGTGAAAACAAACAAACAAAAAATAAGTCTATATCTAATTAGTCTCCAGTATAATTTCAAAGATCAAAAACATGGGAGTTAGCCATGAAAGAGAGGACTACATATTTAAAGTTAAAGGGACAGGAAGACTAGGAAAACTAAGTTTTGGGCATAAATTCAGGAGAGCTGGATAAATTTCTGCAGTTAAACTCAGCTTTCCTCATTGCCACCTTTGTCATTCACCAAAAGGATCACAGCCAGTGGACAACTAATGTTCCTGTCTCTGGGGAGAAAAGGGAGGGAAAGGATCCAGGATCCAGGACTAGAAGGTAAGAATCAAAGTTCCAACTTTTAGTATCCCAGTGACTTTACAATGTTCTGCATATTCCCTGGTCTTTTTCTCCACTATTTTTGTTGTTGTTGTTGTTGTTTTCTTGATAACATTAGAATGTTTACATTTTTACCATATGTACAAATACTTTTTTTTAATATATGTGTGCATTTATGTATGAACCCCTTCCAAAATAACAACTCTGAAAATTCAAAAGATTGGGTAGGAGTATATAACACATTCTTAAAATATTAAAACCTGCACGCATTAAAGCATCAAGTCAAATACTTGTTAACCTGTCTCACTAATAATCGCCTGCTTAGATCCAGTCTGTGAGAGGAAAAGGAAGCAATAAATTTGACCCTAACTTACCACACATTTTAATTGCACAGTACTCCCAAGGGGTGTCAGGGTCAAGAGTATAGCACCACGGCCTCGGCTTGCCATCAGGGTTGCGGCAATAATTATCATCAAAGCCCTTGTCGGGGTATCTGCAAACCACACCGAGAGAAGTGTCACGTAAATCTGCCTGGGAACACACCTAGCCTTCAGCTCACAAGATAACTTTCTACTTAGTTTGGATAATACTAGCTAGGGAAAGTTCCAGTTTTTTCATCTTTTGCTTTATAGGGACTGCTGATCATTAACTATTGAATCTACCTGCATATTCCACTAAGAATAGAGTATCATCCTCTGTGCTAATAAGTTAGATCCATTTGGTATACCTGTCCACCAATTGGGATTTCAACTGAATCCCTTTCTCATACAGCCCAATTAAGAAACAGACTGCAAAAAACATGACCACATATAGAATGCTCATTAAGAAAACAGGTCCTCCTCTAGGGCTTAAAGTTCAATTGGAAGTTTGGTTTCAATTGCTCTGTTACTAATGATAGCTCAGTTTTAAAATGGAGCTGTTCTAGGTCATGCCCTCAACTCCACCAGGGCAAGAGACAAACTCCATCACACCACTTTCTCCACATCCCACCTCCCTTTAAATTAACAGAGTCCTGAATTGGTAACCTGATTTTAATTGCTACCACATCCCTTCTGCTCTAACTTAAAAGAAAAGACATGCATTTAAAAAAATAAATCAAGAGTTTTAATTTCATTTAAAAGAACAACAAGAGGCAAAAACTAACAACAATCACTACCAAAAAAAAAAATAAATAATAAAATAAAATAGAAGAAGAGAGTAAAAATACCTTGTAGCAATTTCCAAAGGAAAGTAGGGATGCTTTTTCTTTGCAATATTTATATATTTATTCTTTCTAGTAAAAATAAAGAATTTATTTTTCTTTTCTTTTGTTTTTTCCACTTCATTTCATGTGAAATGAACTAGCAAAAGACATAATCTGTTGTTGTTTTCTACTATAAATTCAAAACCTTCTCCTGGAAAAAGCTGGCCCTGTCCGCCATTTTTAAATACATCAGGATAAAACAGCTAATGCATTATTGGCACTAGTTTTCATTCACTTTTTAGAGACATCTCCTAAGTTCAGGTGTCACTCATATGACCCACAGAATGTAAGTCTCTGAAGATGCAGCTCTGGAAGGATATTTGCTTGCATTTAGGAGTAATTAGTCCTTTCATGGTTTGGGCCTATCAAAGTGGTCATCAGTGAACTGGCTCTGTCTTTTGTCTTTTTTCTTTCTTTCTTTCTTTCTTT